TGTTTCGTTCAAATAGTAATTATTAAATATATTTGATAAAAACCAGCAATATGTGCTATATAATTAATTTTGTATCAAGTTTTAGCGCTCCTTTTATTGCTTCCTTGTCAGACACGCTATCTAAATTCTGAGAATTTTCCGCACTTGTTGTGAACAATCAACCCAATTTTCTCTTGAGTTCTCATCAATTGCGAATCCTTTGTATTGAAAATAAATATACAGTGTTGAAGGAGTTGATTCGCGCTCAGAAAAACACGCCCGAAGGAGAATCTGTGTCTGTCGTCACTCTGCATTTGTCCTCATATTGTCTAATTTGGAGCGCACAAAGGCCAATGTTGGGCAAAATATTTACGTCAAAAGCCATCTCTATATTTAGAAAAGCTCCGCAATGATAAACTTTTTGATGCTCACAGGCTCAATTCACGCTACTACGAGACTCTGTAGTGTGTTGGGTATTTTCAAGTACATAATTAGGGGTGATTTTAGAAGGGAAATTGTTAAAAGTTCCAACTGAAAAACTGGGCGAAGCAAATGATAATTTCAGAAGCTTCTCTGTTAAGCTTTCAGCAAGAGAGGTGTAATTATGGAGTTTTTAATTTAATTGTCATAATGTTTGTGGTTTTACAGAGGCAATTTTACATCAAATTTCATATCAATAAAGTACCGCAAAACTATATTTTTCTATAACGCACGCGTTGTGGAAAAACGTACGGAATTCCCGTGTCTCTTCTCAAGTGCTTCCTCACTTTATTGTTTTCCTTTTATTATTATCATATTTATGTCAGCGACAACATGCTCTTCCACTAGATTTCTTTTCGATGAATATTCAAGCACGCTGAAAACAGAATTCATTCACGAAAGAGCCTCTCATGGACATACGAAATCTCCGGTCGTCTTGAAAGCTCTTCCACGTTCGCCTTTGATTTGCTTGTGAGTGACTTTTGAGAGTCAGGGTGGGTAAACATAAGACCGATTTGTTGGGAAAATGATGAGAAAATATTGGGAATTTTCTCTCGCAACATTTAACAATAATAATTGTGTTTGCCAAAGAATTCCGACCAGTCGCTTTTCATCTATGAAAATATTTATAATTCATCACTTTACAGGCGGAAAAATTACGAGAAACTTGATTGAAAACTCATCACACTTTATATTAACATTTGAGCTACGGAAGAGGAAGAAACTGCAGCGAATTGCTGTGAATATTTGCAAATGAGGCGCAAAGAGGCAATTTCACCGTGTTCTGTTTTTGTGACTTTCTTTATAAATAGAACACTTGAAGCCAGCAACAATGTGGAGGCCAAAAGCATGTGCTCCAAAAACACCATCACAAACGCGCGCTCTCCGCGTGAAATGCGTACAATATTCTAATTCATGACCCTCTGCACTTATTGAAGCGATAAATTTCATCGACAAGGAGATAATTAGCATTAAATAGCATATTCATATTGATTTGTGTGACCGCACGATTTACTGTAATTGTCGTGTAAATATTTGAAAATCCCCCTCTCAATATTTTAATTGTTTACACCACATTTTCAGATCATGGGTTGCCCACTGTTTAAATTAATTTCTCCGCGTGCCAATCATTTCGCGGGCACGCAGAAAAAAACTTTTCCCATTTCACCCACCCACAAATCCACGACGTGCGGTGCAGAAAGGAAGGAGAATAAAAAATCCATTTTGAGGAGATTTGCTATTGAAATTTCACAGTATTACTTCCCTTCTGTGTTTTTTTCTCTCTCTCTGCGGTCGTCCTGAGAATCTAACTTGCAATAATATTTGGTGAAGGAGTAGATGGAAATTTGCCATGAGATAAGACGACGAATATCCTGAGAAAGTTATTGGATTTTCTCCATTTGAGTGGCCCATCGAAAAGTGGCACCGTTGGGAAAAGGAGGGACAGTATAATGTGAATGTCTCTCGGGTGTTATTGCGACCCGCCAAAGCTTTCAGGAAGTCAAGTTATGCTGCACTGAGAGAAAATTGCTGCAGATTCGATGGATTCGAAGGGGGAGATAGTATGGTCACAAGTGGCATGCAACTCAGCAGACGCTTTAGGGAGTGAAAGTGCTTAAGAATTTGCAATATTCGATTCACTTAATTTGAATATGACTTGATTATTATTCATAAATCAACTCTTATCGAGGCACATGCATATTCAGACAATACTTTCTGGGTTGTGTTTAGGGATATTTGTCAGAATATCGATGATTTTAATCGTTCTACTGAAATATAGTGTTCGGGATTTTTCATTCGCATAGTGAAAGTGTCAGCAATTTGTGTACAGATTCGAGTGAAAATATCTGCCCCTTGTATATTTAAAGGTCAAGTGATGACTTTTCTCTTCGACCTTAGGAATTAACAAATATCGAAAAACTCAGGCGCAGTTGCTAATGAATTAACTCCTTATCCACTTTTAATTCTATAGGCAATTATTCTCTCATTTACTAACGACATCTCAATCGACGTAATTATTCTATCAAGATAAAAGCTTGCCATCCAATATTAATGTCGGGCTATTTGTCAAGCAACATAATTGGACGTGTTCTCAGTCAAGGAGAGATGAAGAAAACACCGTTTGATTTCCGCAATAAATGCCATTACGCAATCCGCACGCACATTAGCATCGCTTCGGGTGTCCGTGCACTTTAATTGCGGCACGTCGCGTATTAAAAGTGTGTCCAAAAATAGAAGTATCGCCGATGTGCAATACGGTGATTTCCATTCCGTGGTCACGGTCAGCCAGAGAAGTCTCTCAGTGTCGTGCAGCGATGATGTTTCCACACGCCGTGCAAATAATCCGGCCAGGAACTCAGTGCGGAAATCCGCACTGGGAAGCCCATAAAAATTCCTCAATGAATCTCCTCTTTTTTCGAAATTAATTGCCATCGCGCATATGAAATATTGAGCGGTTGCTCTCAAATCAAGTGATTTTCCTCGCATCTTCTCCCGCCTTTTCCGTATGGCCTCGTGGATTTCCTCTGATTGATGACACTTCTTTCTTCTCATGATTTTTCATCCTGTGCCAGGAAGAATGTTCTGCCAAACGCTGAAGGCGCAATGAAATGCGAAAAAAATTCCTGATTCAGAAATCCCGTGGCAAAATGGTGGAATTGTAAAAGAGCACAAATAAATATTTACTCTCCCTTTGTTCACACATCCACCCTCACTCGGTCCTGCATCAATTTAACATGACTCACATATCATTTTGCCTTATACATTTCAGTCGTCCTCCCATTTTTGCTGCCCGTCAGGACCTGTGAGTGTGAAAAAGTGTAACAATGCAGTGTTTTCACACACAAAAAAACTTCATATTTTATCACAGAAAGAAGGGATTTCACAAACCGCGATAGTGTCGAATTAATTATAATTCCTGGAAAGCATACACATATAGTGAGAGTGGGAAAGACGAATTGTTACCTATGCACATAATAAAATATTTTCAGGTATTTAATTATTTCCACTCTCCGCTCACGTGCTGCTCATCTCGAGGGCGGACAATAAAATCTTTACAGCCCATCGTGGCACAAGAGTCCTTTTCACCTTGTCAGGGAATTAATAGATTGCTGAGCGAGGAGAATAATGAGCTGGGAAATTAAGTACAAGACAATATAATGTCTCTGCGGACGCAGGTGTCCTAAAGGCAAGTATTGCCAACACGTGCACATCCTTTGCGAGGGACACTATCATTACCCAGTCTTTATTTAATCCGCAAATTAAGCTAAATCTTTCCAACTGCTTCACTTCAATTTCACCGTCATTCCATGCATAAACAAGTACCAAGTGCGGTTAAGAAAAAGATGCTCCTCTTTACCCCTTCCATTCGGCAAATTAATCTCAACCGAAGATACAAGGGGCTGTTCAGTGGTGAAATTGGCAAGAACAAGCACACGTAGGTCGACAGGATGGTAAAAATACTCCTCGGTAAAAAGTTTGTTCGTTGCTTTGTAGTTTTAAACTTTCAGCAAATTCGGTGAAAAAAGTCTCCGTGTTGAGCAAGAAACAAGCAATTCAGCCTTTTGTTATCAAACAGACTTTGTATCATCACTTCTTATCCCTCTCGCTTTTTTGTCCGTGCAAGCATCCTGGGAGAATTTCGCTCAGCACGAGAATGTCAGCTTGAATGTAAGGATGAAAATTGAGTGAAGGAAAGTTAAATGACTTTAAATTACATGAAGCTATAGAAAAAGTCCTCAGAGAAATTCCCGCAATTGAAGTAATTGATATTCTCTCTCCACGTCTTTGCACTCTTGTAAGACTTGAAATGCAGATTTTTTAATTAAAATTCATCTACTTTATGAACGCTATCAATCTTTTATGGCTCTATGGCAATTATTTCCTTGCAAATTCTCATTTTCTTATAAGCATCAAGTGTGCATTTTTAGGGCTTCTTTAAGAGAAATCCACCAACGCCATTTGTCATGACCTACATTCACCTGAAAGATCAATCAAATTGCAAATTTACACCACCTTACATTGTGTGTAACAAAGTAAAGTCGAGGGATGGGGAATCATCCAGCAAACAAAGAGTTTTTGTGCAATATCAATACAATTTGCTGTGATCATTCATGTGTGCTGGATGGATTCAAATATGCTCGAAGGGTGTTTCTGAGGATGTCGTTTACCCATTCTGTTGCTCGGGAAGGTAAATTACACTGTCGTTGCCTTGTGGCAAGAGTCCTGGAAGGACCGTCATCTTTGAAGCGAGCTCTTTGTCTCCGCATACATTAACGCTCAGGATTTTCTGTCAGTGGTTTAGGTTAATTTAATTCAGTCTCCATGTCAGGATATTCACATTAGCATGATACTGTGACACAAAGGAGGGTGGAAAACCCTTCAGCCTTTCACGTGTGCCCAGGAAACATGCTTATATTAAATGTTATATTGTCAACAAACATGCGAGTCTTTTATAATGTTGGGAAAACAGTTGGAATTATATTTTAAAAATTGCATTCACGTCACAAGATGAGCATGTAAACATCACTCTTTCTTTGCAGACTCCCACTCATCCTTTGGGCGTGTGAAGTTTGTTTGTCTTTGGCAACAACTACGCAAAAACGTGAGTGTTTTAAATGATATGGTATCAGGTGTAATATCTCTGAAATACGAGTGTTATTCCTGACTCATAAATTCCTCTTCTCTCAATTGAGATTTACGAAATTATCGTGGGTGTGGAGAAAGAGAGAAAATAATCTAGGATTAGTGAAGTTAGATGAACATGTCGAGGCTTCAAACACATGGTGACATTCATAAATATTTATTATGACGCACTCGACCATTTTTTTCCTGGGTGGAAAAGCTGGAACGGAAATTGATTGTAAATCATCATCAAAGTACAACATACTGTGCAATAAAAATTCCTACAATGTTATATATAGGTGACGATCACGATTCACGCCATTCAGTCGTGATGGGATTGGGTGTGAAAAACTTCAATCGCGAGGCACAATTGCAGCACTCTTGTGAGGCAATGAATGCAATTTAGGCAAATTACTTGCTGCCAAATGGCCTTTATTGCGCCAAATATCGTCCATTTGTCATCCCGCGTTCGATTCGGTGGTGAATTGCCATGGCAAAGGCGGGATTCGCCCACATGCGACCTGAAGATGATGGAAATAATAATATGAGAGGTGGAAAATATCAACATGAGCAACAGAAGAGTCAATTTTATACCATGACTTGATTTATTGGCTGCCTTCTTTGCCCTCAGACCCCTTGAGAATATTGATGACAAAATACATTTTCGGATCACGAAAGGGCGGAAAAATGTTAGACTGGTCCAAAAGATATTTTACCATTCTTTCCTTAACACACTATATTTCTCTACAGATACAACTTTCCGACAAAAACTTTGTTATGCTGAGAAAAAGAAGACTTATGATCTGAAAATCAATCAAATGAATGGAAATGTTCTTTTCTAAGTAGCTTATATGAAATATTTTTCAATCACGTAGATGGCTAAAGTTTTACGAAATAGTAACTAAAATAAGCCTTTCGCAATGCAATCTGTCTCTCAATGGGTGACATTATTCATTAACAAAGCTGCTTCAAGTGTGCATAGAAATCAAATATTTCATTAGCAACATTTCACTCTCAGTTGAAATGCCCAAATCAAACTCATTGTTCATTAGAAAGGAACAATGCTTTATGGAGCATTATGAGTTCCACGAAAATCTAAAATGACAGTCATGTGAATTTGATTTGATGAAAATGAGAAATTCACGTGGTTTTCCGCACTGAATTGGATTCATTTTGAAGTGCAAAATGAAATTTCCCCCTGATTTCTCCACAAGTATAGAAAATTAAAAGCAAATGATAGCAGAAAACCATAGTTTCCATCATCACATGCAAGAAACTCATCAGACACAATCCCCTAATGATTCCGAGCAGGGAGAGGAACAAGACGAACACTGTATTCTCACTACAAATGACACAGCATTGAAATTAATTAGGATATTAGTGGGGCACAAAATTAGACGATTGCATTTCATCAGTGCGATAGAATATTTAGGGAAAAATTCAAGGATTTTGTAAGGTAAAAGTTGCTCAGCAAATTTACTCAGTTTGAATTAGTTCTGAACCTTCATTTGTGCCGTGTTGAGTTGAACAATTTTTCATCCCTTCCTCTCGAGCCTGGCAGCGACAGGATGAATCTCTGAATAAATAAACAAATGACTGAGGAACTTTTCCAATTAAATACATTAAATTAAATATTTATCAACCTGACGGTTACAGTGATTTGAGGATTTCCACCCAAGATTTCACCATATTTCATCGCTCATTCATACTTGCCACGTGACGCACTAAATCCTGCCGCAATTCTCTCGGCAATTTCTATACCCTTTCGACATTTGATGCACTCAAAGTTGCCTCTTTGTGAGACATCCACTCACAAGGAAGTGTCACGAGGTTCTAGATTATTAAAATTCTTCCATGTTCCTCGTGCTCTTCGTACTTTGGAGGAATTGTTGCACTCCAGCTAGTTATTTCATATCATTGCTTCGTAGAAATCAAATACAAAGAAGAAAAATAGTAAATATCACGGGTTTTTTTTTTAATTTTCTAAATGAATTCTAGCACTTAAGAAATATCCATGCAAAAGATTTAATATACTGGAAATTGTAAAACTACAGCATGCATGCTATTGAAAAAGTCTTGAGTCACAACTCCGGCTGTGAACTTCAAAGCAGAAAGTCAAAAGCAAAGGAAAATTCCTTTGAGGCGACACTGCGGAAGAAATGGAGACAGAACAATTGAAAATGGGCCACTTGCTCTAACAGCAAACACATTGCCATTTGCAGTTGGATTTCAGCTAAGGTGCGAATGTTGAATGAAATTGTAAACTCAATTTCCTCACACGTATAGCCACCATATTGGATGTGAAATCCAATTTTTCACTCCCGAGCAATATAATTTGAAAATCCCTCTCGGATATTCTCAGTATCAATTCCTTTGGCATCGAGGAAAATCCTTGGAAAACTTTTCCCACGCAGTACTTAAATGGAGATTGCTCATTGTTTGGCTCCATCTTTGAGCACTTTGAGTGGTGTAATCTTCGCATCTCTCACAGATGCGAAGAGCCCTTCACAAGAAGTTCAGAGGTGCTGATGCAGCTGAAAGTGTAGTGAATAGGAATCAATTGCTTCACTGTGACCTCACTTACTATCTTAGCTGTGTGAAAAGTATTCTTCGCAAGTTAACCCAATTTAGGTCGCAATTTGGCTAAAAGTGTAATTGCATTATTTTGTCGAAGAGCCATTTGGCTGGCATTTCATCCCGATGGAAAACACAATTTCCATTTAGGATGAAAACAACTATACCTTCGGACGAGCTCATAAAGTTGCCAAAGAAACTCAGAAATAATGTTATTATCTACATGAAATTGGAGGAAAAGTTTGGCTAATTTTTCGTACTCTTGCTTCTTGTGTTATTATGCGTACGCTATGTGCAATAATGGTGAAAATTCACTTTCACAATCAAGTTCAAAACTGTACAAATTTGCGAGCAAACCAAAGTAAACTTTAAAATAAACTTTATCATTAATATTTAATAAGCACTCTTCGTGAACTTAAACAAAGAAGTAAAGAAAATTAATATGATTTTCATTCAATAACCGCCCCAAAAAGAGCTTTTCAATAACCGTTCCCGGAAAGTTTACTTCTTCTCCCTTTTGTTCATTTTGAAAATCGACAAACCACTTTTTTAACAAAATTGAATTTTAAACGCACATGAAATTTTCATAAAAATTTTATATGTAGTGAACAACATTAAACACATACAGATATGTGCATTGAATAGCAATAACACGATTTTGCGATGAAGAGAAATGTCAATCAGTAGTCAATCATTTGGTGCAAAATTTGGTGAAAACTTTTTACTTTTGCACATGCTGAAATTGCACATCAACTATTACACAAATGAATGCTTTTTTGTTAACCAAACACTTCTGTTATTGAATTATTAATATGAAACGAACAGTTCGTTCATCCAGCAGTTGGATTTCATATTCAGACTTGATGAAATTAAACTTGGGATATAAATTCAAGAATATTTAGTATATTATGTAACATGTGCTATTATCAAACAGTATTCAAATTAAGCATTGTTGCTAGTATGCTTCATCTGAAATCGAATAAACATCCCCTTACAGCTTAGCATATTCATCATACATGTTATGTAATTAGATAGATTTTCCCATGGAAATTGGCAAAACAGGGTAGCATAACAGTATGCTATAATGCGTTTTCCATAGATTTTCCAACGTTGCCTCCAAATTAACCGCTTTTGTTACACACTATTCTTAGAAATGAGCTTCAAATTAGGCATCAGCTCGGGGTGCATCGAATATATGAAAAGCTGATTATCGTGTGCAGAGGCCATAATGTTGGCTAGTCGATTACACAAATCATGCAGAAATAACTTGGAGCTATCTTGCCGTAGGTAAATATTTATAAAATCGACAGTGAACCGTACAAAAGTTCCATCACCACTTTTCACCCATTAGGCGATGCTCCCCATGGCCACCAGTGACAGACTGACCAAACAAAGTCACGGGGGTTCCGAGCGGAGAGAAGAGTCAATCTCCGCATTTGCTTACGCTGAGGAATTTCTGTTAATTACTCAGGACGACAGAGGGAAATTCAAATGAGACATGAGAACAAAACTTATTGACTGCTTCATTAAACATTTAATTGCGCTTCTCTTGATCAATTTAGGATCCTCTCGCACAGAATACTCTGCGTGACTTGCAATGGATTTAAAGTGATTCAATTGAAGATTTGTGATTTTCATCTCCAGAAGGATCAATTTGAATTACCTTAATAGCATTTGGCAATAATTCTCCGTTAAATCCTACAGAAAAAAAACGTGAAAAAGTCATGAGAGAATCTAACACATTTCTTTCCGCAGTGCCTAAGAAAATATATGCAGTGAGATATTGGAAAATTCATGAGGAAATTCGAAGGATTTGCTATGGAAGACAGATGGGGCACATATTCCAATTTTATGAGCACTTTCCCAGTCTCTCACCGCAATGACAATCCTTTACCAGTGAATAAAGAATTCATGAATTACTTTGGAGGAAAATTGACCAAAATAGTTTCATCCATTTTCGACACAAGAAAGTGCCAAATATGCTAAATTTATGTAACATATTAGTAAATTACATTCGCCAAGCAAAGTCAATTAGGTAAATTAGAGTTAAGGAATTCCCTCCATTATACAGTGCATATGCATTTTCTCCTTAATTCTGTAACATAATCCATGTTTGGCGGAAAACTGTGCAAGTTTCCACACTTTACCGCTTATTTGGAGTGTTGTTTGCAAACACTCTGTTATTAGGGATGTGCAGAGAATGATAAAGGAAATTTAACTCACATTCAGAGATGCAAATTTCTCATGAAGTTTCAGAGCAGAGAGAAAATTTTGACCGATTCTTCATTGTTTATTGCAATTTCCATTTTAAGCCACTTATACATCGTTTCAATGAGCATACAAATTTTCTGTTTATTCATGGTATGTACATTAAATTACCTCCTCTAGTTTAATTACATTGCAACA